AAAGAAAATTTATTTGAAAAACACAAATATTTGTTTTATTTGGGTCTCTAATTAATAAAAAGCAATGAAACACCATTTTAAAGTGCATTTTTATTCGACTAATATATTTATAAATAATATGTAGCCACATACTTTATACCTCAAAACCTGTCTATCCAAATTTTTTTTTTTTTGTTCCTGTGGTTAGATAAACAGGTTCAACTGTATATTTCAATTATATCAATATTTGTATTTTGTTGAAATGAATGTTTTAAAATAATTCATTTTATAAATCTTATTATATCATGAATTTATCTTCTAAATATTATATCCTACTTGTTTAAGTCAACATCATATAACTGCATTCTTGGTTTTTCATGTGGTTTATCTGGATCCTGTTGACAAACAGAAAGAAATTAAAATTTTTCAGAATAAATACATTTAAAACTTATCAAATCAAGTAAACTTATTTACATAGCGATATATAGAAAATTGTTTAATTCTTTTCTGAGTTTGAGCTTCTGCTGCTGCAGCAGTCTGTACAGATCGTATCTATAAAATAAATAATAAAACCCATTTAAAATAATTAAGAATTACTAATGTAATTGTAATATATAAACTTATTAATATATTAAATGCGTTTATCATTTACAACAGAATGATAAACACATTTAATATGGAATAGCAGTCTTACAAGCATATTATTTCCATTAATTGACTTAACTTTTGAAATAATTTTTAAATATAATTTTAAGATTATTAATTTTAAACAAATTACAAAAATATACTTAGGATATTCTAAACATATTTTATGGCTTCTAATTTTAATCATAATACAAAAAATAAACATATTTCTTAATTTTAAAATAAGGCATAAATGTCTTAGATTTATCTACCGTATAAGGGAAAATTAAGAAGTTAGAGTGAGTAGAAGAAATCATCAAAAATGAAGAAACTGAATGGGATAGAATTGATGTCTTAGCGAAGGAATTAAACAATTAAAAAAAAGAAAAAATATGTATTTTAATTTTGTAATTGAGGTTATTCTATTTTACTGATTAGCAAAATTAATATAATTATCAAATTTCAAGTATAATTTATATTGTAAGTGAGATTATTCTCAAAAAATACCAAAGAGAAATAGTGATTTTTAAATGTACAAATTAGTAATTATTAAAAATAATTCTAGTACTGAACATTTATTATAAACACCTGAAAAGTGAGCTATTAAAATATACAAAAAAAAATAAAATTTATGTTTACAATTTATAAAAAGCTTATCAAAACTCCAAAATTTTTTCTAAAATTCAATCAAATTAATTAACATTCAGTATAACTCTAATTGATAAATATGCTCACAAAATTTCATTATTTTATTATTTAATTATTGTAATATGAAGCCAGAACAAATTTCATACTGCTTTCTGTTATTATTCTCAATATTAGCATAGGTCCTATATTTCTATGTTTTATTATTTAAACCTTTTTCTTATGCTATTGTGCTGCTTATTGCTGCTTTTCTCTGATTGGCTATGAGTTTGGCTTGAATAATAAATTATAATATTAAATATGCTTTATTCTGACTTTGTTAAATTTTGTTTGTTTTATCTAAAATTATAATTTTAATAAACTTTTATGTTATAGCTATATTTCATAGTTAATGATTATTATTTTTTCTAACTAATTAAATATTTTAAAAAGAAAATATTCATAGTATTGAAGTTCATCATTTCAATAGCAAATTTTGACCTCTTAGTGCTCTTTCAGTTGAGAGTGATTAACACTACCTTCCCCGGCAAAATAAAAAAAAAGGAGGAGGAATAAATATTGAGTTTTTAGAAGAGAGAATATGCACATGCAGATAAAAAAAACTATCATTTCCTTTGTTGTAATACCATAATATAATATTAATGATAAACTTCAGAAAAGATATATTAAAGATTTAGTTATTCTGACAAAATTGTCCTGTTTTTCTATCTCAATCATTCTCCATTGACATCTGGAACCAGGTATAGTATTTGGATGAAGTTTGATTCTGACCTTTTCTTTGGACAAAACTTTCTTCTTCTTTTTCTTTAAAGCAGGGGTGTCCAACCTTTTTGTTTCTCTGGGCCACATTGGAAGAAGTCATGGAGTTTTGGGCCATTAGTATATTATATATACTTGTGGCCTACATATATTTTGGCCCAATCCTTCAATATACAAGTATATTTAAGGATTAACATGTCTAGATTATAGTAATAAGTATTAAAACTTTATCACAAAAAAGGATATTTTAAAAAATTACTCCTACAGACCCTTCCAATTTTAACTTAGAAATAGATAAATTCATTTATTATAAAAGAGACAAACAAAAATTTATTTAAAAAACACAAATTTGTTTTATTTGGGTCTCTAATTAATAAAAAACGACAAAACACCATTTTAAAGTACATTTTTATTCGACTAATATATTTATAAATAATATGTAGCCCAGAAAGTAGCCAATGTGCAAAATGATAATTTTTATGCCAAACTAAAAAAAAGGTAGCCAAATCTTGCAATGCTGGAAAGAATACTAAATAATGCTGGAGTTGGAACTCAAAGGACTATAGACCCAAATTTGAGAAAAGGAGAGAAAGGCCAAAAGATAAAAAGTAGTGAGGAAGGTTGGAAAATTAAGGGTCAATATTGGCATAACAGAAGGTTTATTTAACCTTTCTCACTACTTTTTATCTTTCGGCCTTTCTCTCCTTTTCTCAAATTTGGGTCTATAATCCTTTGAGTCACAACTTCAGCTTTATTTAATATTCCTTCCTCATTCACACATCTTCAATTATTTGAAAATATTTCCTTTTCACTCAAAAATAAAATACAGTATGTATAAAAGTTTATGGCTTTGTGAAACTTCTTTTTTGAGTTTATGCTGTTGAAATAATAAAAAAAAAAACAATTTGTCAGTTTTGTTTACACGTTTATTGGGCCGCAGGTTGGACACCCTTGCTTTAAAAAGAAAAATGCGAAACTAGAAATTTCTATTAAATCGCCTGCACCTGGATACCTGCCATCTTTATCATGAACTCTGGTATCAGTGTTACTCTCACATTTTTTATAGTAAATCTTAATCATCAGAATCAATGCAATTAGTCCATCATCATCATCCTACTGATCTTATTTTATCTTCATACTTATTTTAACATTTTATTAAATCTTTACAAATGATAGTTGAAAGATATGTATATATTATGGTGTAAAGTCTATAATTTAAATTAATCTAATTTTTTTAATCATTTAATAACTTTTTAAAAAATTTATAAAGAATCCATGTTATCAAAATTGAGATGATCTATTTTGTAAAATAATATAGTTTTCAGTTTATCAAAAAATTTCCAATATGATAATATTCAAATAAAATCATATTACTTCTCAAGAAAACTTATCTAAAGATTTATACAGCTTTATTAATAGAAGAGTTATAATGAACTGCCAACCAAATGCTTTCAATATTCATTTTGGTCGGTGCCAACCAACACATACAATACTGTTTAGAAAAATCCTTATAAAAAGTTTTAATTGGCATATATTTTAGCTTTTGTTATTCTGAGTAACATTTTGAATAAAATTCATTTGTTTTGATGCAATTTTATGTTTATAAGAATAGAATTAAGCTATAAAACTGAATTAGCTCTATTGGAAACCCCCATGAATTTTGACCTATAGACCCAAAAGTTTCATGAGCATTTCACTGATAACAAGAAAAGCTCAAGTTTAAAATTTGAGCTTTCTAGACTCAGTGGTTTTTTCTCTAGAAGTATCTGTAGTGACAGATGAAGAAAAAAAAAGAAAAAATACAGCTTTTTTTGGCGATTTTTGCACCTTTCAATTGCTTATATTTTGGCAACTGCTTTATAGAAAATCTTGAAATTTTGCACACTACCTAAGAAAACAATTTTCTTTTGAATGAAATGTTTGGAATTATTTCTGATGTTTGGGGGATAGAGAAATCAATCCCTGAAAATCAGCAACTCTGATTCCTGTATGTATAATTATAATCAGTGACTTTTTTACTTGGTGGGAAATCACTGCCCCGACTCCTGATGTTAAATAGATCATTTAGATGTTTAATTCACTATCCCTGTAAATGAAGAACCATCTTTAAAATAAACAATTTTTAACATCTTAACCAAAGGATATTTTTATGCTTTACTCAAAAATATATCTTACTTTAGTGGTTAAATTATCATTGATCATATATTATATAACAAAATATTCCACTATTTACTATAAATATTGATAAATAAGTTTTAAAAAAATATAATAATAATAATAAAACAGGTTTAAGCTAAAGTTTTATAAATAATGCAAACCTGAAAGAAAAAGAAAAATATAGTACAACAAAATGAAATGACATCATTGTATTATAGCTATACAACTGAGAAGTTAAAACAATAAAGTAAGATTCGAAGATGTCGAAAAATAAATGCAGCTGTAAGAGAAAACAAGATGAACTGAGAAATCAAATGACAAATGCAAAAATAAATCAATTGATGGATATGAACATACTGAATCCAATGTTACTTCAATAATGCATTTATGTTCACCAATAACATTTATTATATATGCAGTACATATAGAAGTGACAGATGATGGACAGATAAGTCATAATATTTTTGATATTGCTTAAGATGCATTGCATGAGGTCATTATTTATCATTTGTTGTATATATCTTTGTGCAATGTTTATAGCAATTAGAGAAATGACATTTGATATGTGAACCAATTAATTTATAAATTTTTCTTGTTAATAACATAAATATATTGATAACTTTGAAAATCAATGTTGTTACAGGCTTTTTATTAGGAATTTTAATGACGATTTAAAAAAGAATTATTATTATGTTTTAAAAATAGTTATTCTCATTTGCTTGCGAAAATTGCCAAATGACAGATCTCAACCAATCCAATAGTTGGTCAGCCACAATACTCTGACTAAATAGTTACTAATAGTTCTGGAATATTTGACTGAAAGAATATTGGAATGATTTCTAAAAACAACTGATAGTTATTTTTTTATAACTTAGACGAGTAGATAATTTTAATTTATATAAAAATTTTCCTAACATTGCCAAATATTCTTGTTTATACATACTCCAAAATACAAGTTATTTTATGAGTCAATATGGATTCAAAATATGAAGTTATTGTATTAGGAAAGTGAAGTTTGTCAGTTATGATACTAATCATTTTGACCTAATTCAAAAAGTACAGTTTATTTACATCCACTTCCATCTCTCATAACAAGACAGTCAAATGGTAAGGTGTCAGCCTACCACTCCAGGGATGTGGGAACAAATCTGGACAGGACAAGAAACCTTAAAAATTTTTGGAGGGTCCATCCCAGATACATTGTGCCTTGTCCCTTACCCCATTTGTAAACCATGCCAAATAATAAAAAGCCTCTTAGTGTCCACAGGATAAAAAGCGTTAGCAAAAATCTCTTATAATAAGGATTAAGTGATCAAACTGGAATCAAAGATTAAGAATATTCTATAAATTATATATACTGTATACAATTGTATTGAATATATAAAACTAGAGAAGTTTAGCTGCATAGATAAAGGGTTTTTATCATAAAAATGCGCTATTAATAATCATTTTTTAAATTTATTATTTACATGTTAAATTGTTAATAAATGAAGTCTCTTCAAATCTTACTATTGTAAAATTACATGTCATTCTGACCTAATTGCGACTATGCAACAATTTGTATACAATGATTAAAAGTTGTAGAATGTTACATATAACGTTGACAAACATTACTTTTCAATACAAAATTTATAACAAAAAAAGACATTTGAAAAATTAAAATTTAGGCTTAGCAATACATACGAATATTCCCTTAGTTATCAAAGATAACGGTAAATTAGACGATTTCACGTATATTGTGACCGCCATTACCGGTGAGAGAGCAAATTTATAAATAATTATTCGAATTTTACTTATTTTACTTTAACATTTATTTAAAACTCTTGGTGACGACAGCCGACATCCACATCAATTTCGCCTTTGTAGCGACCTCTAACAGGATATTTTATCAATAATGTGCAGTACATTTTTATAAAAATAATTTAAAAATAGTACCTAATTTATATTTTTTATTTCAGAAAGCTGTACTTTTAAATTATAATTATTTAATAAAGACAAATATTATAACATTTAATAAATTTATAAAAAAAATAACGTATTTTTTTCTTTTTTTGGCTTTTTTTGCCCCGTCGGCATTAACTTAATTAAATTAAGAGGGCCTTTTTCCATATCCGACTTGTCTGTCTTGGGTTGGGCCAGGTCGACTTTGGGCGCAGCCACGTGTGACTAGATGTCCAGATGGCACAACGCGCCGATTGGTCAGTAATTTGACTCACAGCTACGAAATAAGTTTCGATTATAATCCCGAAACAAACAGATACTTTCAGTGGATAGTGTACACAGATGGTTCTAAGCAAGAGTGCAGAGTAGGAGCTGGTGTGTGCATTCAAAACAACAACAATAAGACAATATATCAGGCCAGATTAAAACTTGCTAAACATTGTAGCAAGCTGAACTATGGGCCACGTACAAAGCAATCACCCAAATAAAAGATAACTTGAATAAATACGAAGGTAACATAAAATTCCTTAATGACAGTAAGGTGGTTCTTCATGTCTTGGCAAAAACTGAAAACATCACGCTACTGGACAAAGAAGTTATTAAAGTAGAACAATATCTCAGTATTACCCGCAATATTCAATTTAGTTGGATACCAGCTCATAAAGGACATAAAGGAAACGAACTGGCCGATTCTTTGGCCAAAATGGCTGGTACTCTCAAGACGCAGGATACATATACCAGGTTACCAAAATCAACACTGAAAAATTCCTTAAACCGAATGGGCACTAGTTGAATGGCAGAAAAATTCTACAACAGGGAGATTTTGAACCAGTTTATTCCCTCTATTACTAATCGCATCAAGGCTAATTACTACAAACCTAGGATCCGAAACCACCCAATGTTTAACGGGGCACGGCAATATTATGGCCTACCTCTTCCGCTTTAAGAAGAGAAACACTAATAAATGCCGGTGTGACAATAATAGTGTAGGAGATGCCATTCATTTTATATTCCACTGTGAACGATATGAGGATCAACGCATTCCATTCTATAGGGAATGCCTTCAAGAAGGTCATAATTGGCCACCGTCACTACAAAACATTTTTGATAAGAAAAATCTCTGGAAGTGTTTTGAAAGGTTTATTGAAAGCACCAGAGCTCTTCTGCCAGACTTCTACAGGAAAGAACAAATTCTTGAGAATGAAAACAAGAACAGACAAGATGAGCAGGAAGACAGTGAAAAATCGGAAAAGTGATGTTATCAGCGATTGATTGATCGGACGTGTAGAATTCTTCTGTACATAGTTTAGTTGTCAAGTGTTAGATTCTAGATTAAAAAAAATTTCCATTTATATGTATCGGGTCGTCATGTACCATGTGATTTGTATTATATTATATCATAGTAAGCTGATATTTACATTCTCTCTGCGTGTTAAAATTGTAACCAGTTCTTAATGTTATTGTAACATTGCTGTGTTCAAGGTTAGTTTATACCTACCCGTATGTAATGGGTTTTGCATTTTACTGTAACCGGACCATTTCTCGTAATTGTTAATTAATACTGTATAACGATTTTGTCAACTTTTGTAATTTTGGTTATTAATAATTTCTGATGCAGCGCTCTGAGATCCTAATAACTTTTTTCAGCGTTACTTTCCCCTTTTCCTTTATACTTCTCCCTCCAGAACCCTTCCTTCAACCTTTTCTTCACTCCTTTCTCTTCCTAGTGGGCTAAGTTTGCAAAAACAGACAGCCCTTCCTCCTCCTTTATTATTATTATTATTATTACCTTAACCGTCAAGTCAATCTCTTGTTTTTAACTATTTCTCCAATAGCACACCAGATATTCTTCTAGGGCAGGTATCTTTAAAGTTCCGTTCTCTTGGAGTTCTATATTATATTCAAAGCCCATGACACAGCCTATACCCTGAAACACTTCTTGTGGAAAACTAATTCCTGTTTCATTAACTTCGATGCATTCTTTATTTAGCTTAATTAGACCACATGTGGAACAACCCAGAATACAGCTAAAATATTCTTTGGCTATTATAAATCGGAGTTTAACCAGTTTGTTTTGAATAGTACAATTGGCATGTGCTTCGCTTAGCATTGGCATATATTTATTATTAAAAATTTCAGCCTTCGTATATTAGATTGCCTAACAGTTACTGTACCAGCAGCTTTTCTGCCAACTTTGCTGGGATAACATTACCTTCGACACCAGTATCTAATTTAAAATTCACGGCTAATTCGTTTTCAAATGTTACCGTTGTAAACCAAGCTCTCTGTTCCTTTGCCGATACTCCGTCAACATAAAGAGTGTCATAAGACATAAGAGTAGTTGTCTAATTTATTAATACTATTGTCTTTATGAACTTCTCGAGTTTCATGTACGGCTTTGTTATATGTTTTTGTTTTTACTTCGCTTTATTTTTACATTGCCAAGCGTAAGGTCCGTTTTTATTGCAAATCTTGCAATTAACATTAAACGCAGGGCACTTAAGAAAGTAGTGTGATAAGCGCCTGATTATTCAATTTACTTGAAACTATCGTTTTAGAGTTCTTAATAAGCATTATTTATCTGTGTTAGTGTCAAAACTACATTCATTTTCTTTAGTTGATTAGTAGTCTGTTCACTTGCGCCACAAATATCAACAGATTTATTTAGTGTTAACACTTCTGAACTGACATTTATTTCTTTAGGCGTCTGCGACCACTGAGCTCTTTCTTGTTACAAAAACTAAAGAACCGATTAATTTACACTTGACAGATCCAATCCGGGCTGCCGAAAATCCCTAGGAAATTTTCACGAATAGTCCATCCAGTAAATGTCAGAAGTAGATTGCCGCTGCGATCTTAAATGCACTCTTATAAAAAAAAACCACTTAAGTTCTCCTATTCATGGCAGAAAATTTTTCTACCATGCTTCTCTCTTTATTGCAATGGAACATACGAAACATATGTCTCATTTCAATACAGATTACTTTTTTGCATTGTAATTTGTTAAAAATAATGTCAAATTTCTGAAATTTAAAATTCAAAAGAAAATTTTCTATATATTAAAGAAATAAGGCTAGAGAGGCTTGTTTTAAATTATTGCACATTTCACAATTTCTTTCAACGATTCACTTAACTATAATAAATTACAGCTTTGTTAATTTAAATAATTAAGAAATCGAAAATTGAAACGATGTGGCATATCAATAAAATAAGTTATTACATGATTGTGCATCACATCCTATCACATGTAGGCTACTTGTAAATTATCAAATAATGGAAGGAATTGTTATAGTAAATAAATATTTTTAATGTAATTGCAAAAATACTAATTTAATAATTAACTTGCAGCTTGTAAGCTATGTACACGCTGCAAGATAATTATTTGCAAAGTGAGCTTTTGTTTTTGTCCAGTTAAGTTCCTAGTTATTATTACATACAGAATAATGTTGTTGTTATTAGTAATAATCAACTAATAATTCATAATAAAGTAATTAATTCATTATAATAAATTAATTACTTTTTTATGAATTATTAGTTTTCTCCTTTCTATCACTGATTGTGCCAGATGGAAATTATAAACTGTTTTATTCATTTATTTGTTTATTTATTTAACAGTTGTTGGAGAATAAAATGACTAACCAGGAAATTTTATCTGATTGCTACTCTTTCTATTGAATTTAATAAAAGAAAGATATATGTGAGTAAATTTAATTTGAAACAAATCAAATATGAATAACCATATAAGTAATTCTTTTGACACTATAATGAAAATATAGTATTAATCTGTAGCAATTATTTTATTATTGAAAATTTCTATAACATTAATACTGTATATTATTTAATGCTTACTGGGAAATGTGTTTGTTGTGTACAGTACATTAAATTAAATTAAATCTAAGGAATCCTTTAAATATATTATGATGTACAAATACAGGAAAAGTTTTCTGTTTTTATTTAATAACATACAAGTACAGTACAGTACATATGGTTGGATGTGATGTAAGTAATGGAAGTGATGTACAATTACATTTTTCAGTTTTTGATTTCTTAATTATTTCATAAAGTTGTAATAAATTACAGCTTTATGAAATAATTAAGTAAATCATTAAATAAAAGTGTGAAATAGTTAAGTGAATCATTAAAAGAAAGTGTGAAATGTGCAATAATTTAAAACAAACGGCTTTCTTTGATATTTAGGAGACTTCCTTCGAAATTTAAATTTTAGAAATTCAAAATTATCTTTAAGAAGTTTCAGTAAAAAAGTAATATAGGCTACGTTGCAATGAGACACACTCCTATGCATGGTAGAAAAATCTACCATGCATAGGAGTAATTCAAGTGTTCTTCAATAGAGGGCGTTAAAGGACAAGATGTAAGGACTGCAGCTATTCACTCCTGAAATGTTGGATACCTTCCCTCACCATCCGATTGTCCCCATTGTGGACCTAGCCAAACCCACGATAGGTATGGAAAAAAGAACCTATTTGTGCTGATAGGGCGGAATAAGTTTTAAAATATGTCAAATCACATCTGTTTAAAAAAATGAATGGATTTGACAGCTTGGGAAACAGATCAAGGGTATCAAGCGGATTCACATCAGGATTATTTACCACAGACTGCATATGCTCTTATATTATTGAAGAGAATTAGCATACCGGATTCCAATAACTGCAGTTAATCTAGTAAATCTTCAGTCGAAATTTCTAACATGGAAACGTTACCTAGTAATCTTTATTTACTTAGTGATTAGGAACACGATATGTTGCAATAATACCACCATAATTATAATGATTATTTGACTTTTGCCTGGTATTTACATTCCGAGGTGCGTAATAAAGAAAAATGTTTACATTGAACTGATTGTGATTTCAATTCAGATTTGAAGTCACATCTCCAAATCTTACCAATGAGGCATATGACCATGTAAAGTTTCTAAGAGTTGTGATCTAACACCGAACTTCACCATAATACTTCTGTACAGTACTGTACGTACGTACATACATTTTATTCGCTTATATACAGATACGTTTTTATAGAAAGACGACTAAAATAACACCAACATATTCAGCAGAAATCATATTAATAATGTGGAAAAACACAAGCGTTTTTCTGTGAGAAAAAGAGCGGATGCCCAGAATGTATCATTTTTAAGATAACTCTCGTATTTAATATAAAGAAACCAATTAATTTTTATTAATAATTTAATAACTTCATCTTTTAAAGCAGCACATTTTTTTTTTGTTTTTATTCTGAGGATAATTAATATAAATAAATATTAATGTAAACAAAATATAACTGATATATACAAAGAATAATTTATAAACTTCTATATAACAATCATCATGGAAAAATATACTTAGAATGAGATAGGCTTAAATCATGTTCTAAAATATCGCGGTGCATTATGATGAGTCTTATTTGTATTGGTCTTCACATGTATGAAATATAGGCCTATACATAGGCTTATATATATTTAAATCAACGGAATTTACAGATTACAATCAAACAACAATCAAATTACAAATCAACAGTAAAACTTTTTCTGCAGAGATTAAAATTAATTTTTTAAGATGCAATTCAATTTTTATTGTAATTAAGAGGAATAAATACTTACTGTAATTAAAATTAACATTGCTATTAATTACAGTCGATACCATTCTTTTGCTTTTAATCCTGAATAAAGGTTTATACCGGAAATTTGACGTTATAAGCGTTATTTTGGCATAGATTTAATTTGTAAATTTTCATAAAATTTTATAATAATTTCAAAGTTTGTAAATTCTAGTTTGACTGAAAATTGCATACAAAAATAAATGCAAATAGACTTTAATTAATTTGAATAGGTCGATTAAATTCATTGTATAATTTTAATAGGATTGGATTATTAATAGGATAAGGCAACGAAACATTTAGGGATCTATCAGGGAGAGGTGCCTTCCGGAGGACTTTCTATGGGAAATTGGCACCTATTTAGGTTTTAAACATGCGAAAAAAACCCGGAAAACTCCATGTAGCCCTTTGGTGAGGCGCTAATTAATTATTCAAATATAATGTTACCAGTTTTAAATCCTTTTAGACTATATTCCCTCTATCTTTTACATTTTGTCACCAATTTTTAGACGCCCCATACTGATGTCCAGGGGCGGATCTAGGTTTTTCGGGGTCTAGGGCTTATTGAAATCCAATAGGGCCCCATTTTTTGTTTATACGAATAATACTATAAATAATAATAATTATTATATTATTAATATTAACTATTTTTTACTATACGAAAAGTGCTCATTGTTAATGAAAAAGTATTAAAAATTTATGATGATTCAATTTTTGTGGGCCCTTGACACTTGGAGGTCCAGGCATTTCTGTAAAACAGATCTACAATATATTAATTTACTCATATTTACCTCCAAGGCAAGGCTAATTTTTTAAAATAGACTAATAAAAAAAGAAAAAAGAAATTCACCGATTTACCATAGAAGAAGAATCTGATGATATTATACTAACTTGTAACTTCTAGACTGAAATTAATATGCTATATACTGACATTTCTTTCAGCGGTATCTTTATCTGTAATTTATATTTGTAAAGGTTAAATTGTTGCCATTATCCTTTCATATTAAAAATTCTATTAGAGACCTTTCAACAGAGCTTATTTAGTAAAGCATCTCTACTAAAGCTCAACTATTTAAATAAGCAAGAACTTGCTGTATGATCATTGATAAAAATACTTTTGCGTAATGATTTTGGTAAAGAAATTATTTCAAATTAAAAAATTTTTGAGAATCTTTAGGCCACTATCACGATCTATCACAAAATTTTTACGTAATTTATCCTCCTTCACAGTGTAGACATCATATTTGAATGACCTCGAACCCACGACCAATATTCAGTGGTTTTATCTACTCTGTTGGGTTGTATAATTTGAAACACTTAATGAATATGGGAAAATTTTCAAATGTTAAACTTGTATAATTAATTTATATAATTTAACAAGAAATAATTATAAACAGATTTGATAAATATTGGTGATAATTTTGATAAGTTGAGCCCTTTTATAGAAAAATTTGATTTTAAACTGAATTATTTTTAGATTGAAAAATGAATCAATATAAAAATGAAAATTAATATAATCAGTATTATTTTATTAGTTTTTAAATCAACTTTTTTACAAATCTGTTTATGTTATAGGCATTCCCGATTGATCGATGGCTCTACTATTTTATTGTCGCTCGTTAAGTTAATTGAAGAAATTAGTCAAAATAATCATATTTATAAAATACTTCTAATTTAATATAGGCCTAAGACTTTTGTATTAATTAAATTCGAGGCATTTTCGTGCAACGTTGCTTTGTAGCAATGATTTTCAATCTTTTCGAGCAAGTGGCACACTTTTTAATGATCCAGTGTAGCATCAAATATGCTGAAATTTGATCTGAAATTTTATAATATAAAAAAATATAGAAATAATATTTAAAAAGTAGAGAAAAACGTTAGTATTTTTAAGATTATTTTTTGAAATTTTATGACTTCTCTATGAAGAGTTAGTGGCAGAATAGTGTGTCGAGGGACAATTTTGAGAGAAATACTACTTGATAGTAGCATATATATCAAATACAAATAAATAATGTATAAAGACATGTATTGTTAAAGCTAAAAAATGTAAACATTTTCATTAATTATATTTTATTATAATTTAATTGTATATAATATATTTAGAGGTTCTATTTGCATTAAACATGATTCACTCTTATATTAAAATAAAGAAAATATAAAAAGACAAAAATTCTTTTCAAATTATATTAGATTTTTTAAAAAACATTTTTATTATTTATTTTATTACTTTAAATATTAAAATTATTCCTTTTTATATTCAGTCCTCTCATTGGTCGGTCTGTAGATACTAAAATATGGCCTTTAGACCTACAGTTTAGGACATATTTTGTTACGCTGATGATGTAAAAATAATAAATAGTGGCTATAATATTCGCAGAATGATTTACATTTTAATACCGTCTACCTTAGAATTAATAATTTAAATTATCACACTAAAATATCTTACATATTTGCCAATTTTTTGATATTCTCTTCTATGTTAATAAAATAATTACGTTCTAACAATTTAAAAAAGATGTGTTTTCTTTGGCAGGATGCTAAAAATATTTCTAAATTTAATTTTCTTCATGAGTTATATCATTGTACCTATTCTATATACGAATTATTTCTATTTTGTTTATTTTACTGTTGACATTGTATTTAATCAAGATGCTTGCTTGATACATTATGTTATTTTATTGCTTGATAACATTATGTTTGCATAACATACTGAAAATAAATAAAGATTTAAAACTATAAGTATATTGTACCTTAAAAAAATTCGAAATAAGAACTTGAAAATGCTAAAAATATATATATTTACTCTACATATTTTTATCAATAAAGTTCATTACATTAATTATACTAACGTAAACAATAGAAGATATAAGAATTCTTATAAAATTAATAGTCTATATTTAATAAAAAATAAAGTCCTTATTTAATTTATTGTGATATATGCAATACATTTATTACATAGTACCTTTAGTATTATGTAACTAGAATACCGTAATCAGTCGCATTATAGTTCATGTTATGTCTCCAATAGCTTAATGATGAAATTAAAACGAATTTAATATTTGCTACATCATAACTATTCTAATTAAAAACTAATTTTATAATATTGAATTTAAAGAATTTTATAGAATATTTTTATTATTTACATTACTATAAACTGTTAGCAGTTATTCATAACAGTTATAGCGAGTAAAGAACAGTATTTTCAGGTAAATGATCCTATATTAAATTAAAATATCATTCACTTATAATATTTAGGCCATTAGACAATGAACGAGAGAGAGAGAGAGAGAGAGAGAGAGATGCAACTATAAAACAATATACAGTATAACTCAATGTTATAGAAGTCTAGTAACTTAATTCGTAGGTCTAATTCAACCAACGTTATGTCATATAAAACATCTTTTCAAAACTTAGTTAATTAATTAACCATGCAATGCTGTATGTAATAAATATAAATCTTGTTATAGACAAAGTTTAGAGATTAATAAGTTATATATAGTACGACTAAAAATTAATTAAGAATATAGTAATTAAAACTGTTAAAAATCCCATTTCGAAATGAGGATGGCCGAATTTGATACTGGAATAAGAATTGTTAGAGTGAAACCCTTATTATTTTGTGTTTTTTTACAATAAATAATAAACAGTAAACAATTTAATAATTTTCATGAACACTGGATAAGATTAATATTTTTTTAAAAATAGGCAATGCAATAAGTCATATATCATTGTAATTAAATTAAGTGAATGGGACAACTATGTGATGTTGCATTAACAAATTTACTTAAAAAGTAACATTATCTTTTCATCAGATTTTGATCGTTCACATATTGAGTTCATTCCTTAATTAAATCCATTTTTTTAAAAGCGAAACTTTGTCGAAATTAGTGCTTAGGTTCTTAATTTTCTTTAACCTAATGAGTTTGATTTCATTTACTATGATAATGAAGCATAACTTTGATCGAATCACATACAATCGAGCTGTATGCAATAATTTCTGTTGCATACAGCTCACTAAAATTTAGAATAAAACTTAATTTTTATATTAATATAACTATTTTATAAGCCCATATACTAAAAAAATTGAAGAAATATGTGGATAACACGCTGTCTNTATTCCTATATTTTTAAGCAGGAATATTTGTATTGACGCTCTACTCCGTTTTCATCCTTAAAAATTCCTTCGAAAAATTGGGGAAATCCTCTGGTCCTCTTCTCAAATTAAGTTTAAATTAATTGATATTTAATTTTCCCGATAATAAAATTTATATTTTTAATGAAAACAATAACAAAATGTAATGTTATTAGCAAATATGAATAAAATTAGAGAAGCTTAGAAAGTGCGGTTTGCTACAGAAAAATTGTTTTTAGGAATATCAGAAAACTGTAAAGGATATTGCACAAACATTTGTCACATTGTATGCTCTATAAACATTGTTTACATCAACTAACTGTTAACAAACGTCAGAGTTTCTCAGGTATCATCGTCCTTCGAATCTTTCTCTTCATAAACACCTGGCTATAGGTATAATGTTATGAACTATGTACCTACCGAAATGTCATATCCGGTATCAATTTTCTTTTGATTTAAAACAAATTTTATGTTTTATGCAAGCACACGTATGACTGGCAGCTAGTTAAATCTAGTTACTATTAATTTACGTCATTTTAAATTGTTTCGTTCGAGGTGAGTTAAAAATATTGAGCTCTTTTTAAGTGGTCACATTTTTCAATTAAATTCCGAAAGATGCGGAAGATCAGAAACATTCATTATAGCAATTTTTTCCCATATATTATATAAAATGTAACTTCATTATGTTATACATTCCATTCGAAAAATCATGTTTTCTAAATGACAACTCTTATTTTTAGGAATTAGTTCATTTTTAAAGGAAAGATTTAACTCTAAAGAAATAAACGATTTTAACAGCAAAGTCCAAGAGAAATTCAACAAAAATCATTATTTTTCTACTTTTCTAACGACTAATTTAGCGCTTTCAACTTTGTACAAGAATATTTATATATTTCCCACGTTCAAATAAGCAGTTGTAATGTTCTCTGAAGGATAAACAAACAGTTTATCCAATAAGTTACATCGACTTTACCGAGAAAAGATACATCTCTGAAGATCCGAAAGAACATATATATATATATATTGAAAATAATTAACAATCTGTGTTCATCGGTCTTAGACGAATTGAAAATCGCTTTAACGAGGCGAATTTTTGTCTGAATAAATAAACCAAAAGAGTTTTGTCAGCTGGAATCGATTAAACGACAGATTTAAATACCTATTTCGCAAATTTGTTCTATGGTTTATGCCATAAATCACGATTTAAACTCAAATTTAAATGATCTTAATTAGGTTCAATAGATTAATGATGGAAAATTTTACTTATGATATTATTGAAGATTTTTATTACAATTATTACAGTCAATCCAAATTAAGGTTGATATACGTGATCTAAGTATTTATTATGAAATTTTAATTAGCTTAATGAAATTGTATCTTGATAATGTTTAGAATTGCAGCAATTTAACTTTTTACAGTTTACAAGAACAACTATGAAGAAAAGAAAAGACTAAATATTGCAAGTTCCTCATCAGAACAAGTCATGTCGACTCCACAGAAAAGTAACGAATCATTAGACCACGTTACGGATGTCAAACCACCATATTCGTATGTTGCCATGATCACTATGGCCATCAGAAGTTCTCCAGATAATAAACTTTTCTTAAACGATATATACGAATATATAAAAAAGGAATTTCCTTACTACAGGGATAAGCCTCTAGATAAAGAAAAAGCATGGAAGAACAGTATCAGACATAATCTGAGTCTGAATAAGTGTTTCAAAAAGGTACCTCGAAAGGAAGGAAGTGGTGACAGAAAGGGTAATTATTGGACGATAGATCCAGCAGTCGGAGAAATGTTTGAAAATAATAATTATAAAAGGAGACGACGGATAAGGAAAAAAACATATCCTCCTTCATCTACTCTTACTAAAGAACACTTTCCAGATGCTCACGGTGCCTTTCCTTTAGGCCACAACACTTATTTAACTTCTAATTATAACAGTGCGGCCGTTTCGCCGAATTGGTCGTTATCACACGTTCAAACTTCAGGATACAATTCGTGCCAGAGAGTGACGACGGGACAGGCAGCATTACACTCTCCTTACGGTCATGTCCAGCCGCAATACGATGCTGGCTTGCAGTCTCTGCAGTTGGGTACTATGGGCGGATATACTTCTCACGGTTTTACTAGTAGTGCTACAATAGGATCCTTCCCAGGAAACTTTCCTTCGTGTAGAAGTCAGCCTCCTGCTGACGGAATGCACACGGTTCATTACTATCCGTGGCCTGAAAAACAAATCGTTCTGGACGAAGGAATGAAGAAAAGTTTCTTATATCATAAAACCGAAAATGCTTTAATAAAAGAAGAACAAATGGACGGAAATAGGCTATTTTATGCTTAAATATAAATTGTAATGCTTTTCTAATTGTCGCAAAGGCTCCGTGTATTTGTATGTATGATGTTCGATAGGTGTATATATCTGGATAACAGTATACATTATTCTATGTGCTAGCCAGAATATTCTATCGAATTTTCTATTTTATCTTCTATACGTAAAGAATATCTTAGAAATAATAACGTTAATGATATCTTAGTATATTAATAATAATGTCTGTAATATAGGTCAACATTAGGCGTAACCGCAATTAATAAGCCTCCATTGTTAATTTTCTTTATTAAATATCGTTATAATAAAATATACCTCTAATTTAGAATTTTTGTGTTTATTAAACTCTTCTACTATTAAAATATCAACTACTTTGGGGTTAGAAATTTTAACAAAAATTAATTTAATTCAAAAATTCGTGAGCAAATTTAGTTTAACTTGTGGAAATATAATTATAGTTTCCTTTTCACTTATTATAATATAAAGAATATATTTTAATAATAATTAAACTAAAATCTCAAATTTAGTTTATACATTAAAAAATAACTAAGTTTATTAACTGAAAAATGAAAATCATTATGAACATTTCTAAACAATGCACTTTAATGTAGAAAAATAAATTCGTTTGCTCTTATTTAATATTTTGTTTAATAATTTTAATTGAATTATATGATTAATTTAATTTGTTTAACAGAAATGAAACGTGCAAAATGAAAAACTTGGTTCTTATGTTGTTATTAATAATCATTATTAATACTTAACAAGTAGCGTAAAGCTACTTCAGGATATTTGTTATTAAAATTGATATGTGTGATGTATTTCTTTGAATTATCAGCTTAATGAATAGTTTATAATGTTTGGATTTGTAGCAATTTAAATTTTTCAGTTTACAAGGTCTATGAAGAAGCGAAGAGGTTAAACAGTCCAAATTCCTCGTCGGATCGAGATACATTATCTCCCGAGAAGAATATCGAATTAGGAGATCAAGATCCAAATACCAAACCACCCTATTCGTATGCGGCTCTGATCACCATGGCTATCAAAAGTTCTCCAGAGAAAAAACTCACTCTGAACGAAATATATCAATATTTTACCAAAGAATTTGCATTTTTTCGAAACAATAGAAATAAAAATTCTTGGAAGAACAGTATCAGGCATAATCTCAGTTTGTATCAATGTTTCAAAAGGATACCTCCTAACGGCAAGGGAAGTAAGAAGGGAGGGTTTTGGATAATCGATCCCGAGGCTGAAGATATGTACGAAGATAATAATTATTTAAGACGTCGGATAAGACGAAAACCGAATCTCTCACAAGCGACTCTAACTACATATTTTCCAGATGCTTATAACCCAATATCTCTAAACCATGGCACTTGTTTCGCTTCAAATTATAGTAATTCGGCAGTTTCACCCAATTGGTCCCTATCTCATGTTCAATCGATTGGATATGCTTCTTGTCAGAGAATAACAGCAGGACAGGCCGCTTTATATTCTCCTTACGGACACACTCAGCCGCAATGCGATGCAGGAACACAATCGTTGCAGTTAAGTGCCATGAACGGGTACGCTTCCCATAGTTTTAATAACGGAACCACCATTGGATCCTTTCATGGACATTTCGCTTCTTATCGAAATCCTCCTTCCACAGAAGGAATACATCAAGTGCATTATTATCCTTGGCATGAAAAACAAATTTCTCTGGATGATGATTTGAAGAAAAGTTTGTTTTATCATAAAATTGAAGATTGTTTTATAAAAGAACAGTGCGAAGCAAACAGAATTTTCTATGTCTAATCAAAAGTATTTATTATAAAGTATCTGTCTTACATAGCCCACATACAAAATTCTTTCTTCTTAAAATTAAAATATGGTCAAATATTATACCATTTAGCTGTATGATGAGTGAATATTTTATTTAAGAAATGTAAAGTACGAATATTTTAGTTTAAATTAAACATTAAATATTTTAACCTCTAGCTTCATATTTTATAAAGTTTCTTTGCTTATTTACGTTAAAATTAATGTGGTAACTTTTAAAATATTTATTAAATAAGATATATTTAATTTTAAATACTATATAGCGATTTAATAAGGTTTGCTACTTTATCATAATGTAAAATTATATTGATGTGTTTAACGTAGATAAAAATACTAAAGATAATAGTTACAAAATATTAAATATTCCATAATAACAGTAAAATAACTAGAATTAGGGGTTAGGGCTATCCATAAATGACATCCACACTGGCAGGGATGGATGGGGTCAAGACAAGTCTGACGAGGGGAGGGTTGAGCTTCAGTGGACGTCCATTTGTTTTATTAAATTTTATAAGTTTATGCATTTTTATTTCAGAATTTCTTCAATGTTTCGTTTTTGCTTATGGTATCTATCATTCATAAAATGATAAAGGTTTTAAGGGGGATCGAGTATCGTTGGATGTCCGAATGTGGAAGCGGTTACAGAAAATTGGACAAACTGGGACAAAAGAGGGAGGGAGAGTAAAATTTTCAAGAAAAATGCGGATGTAACTTATGGACAGCCTCGAATTAAAACGTGCAAACCAACATTTACCACTACACCTTAATACTCAGAGTGTAATTACTAGCACTGTGGATGAAGAATAAACTCTTAGATATTATATATACACGTGCATAAGTGTGTTTGTCACATTCAAATCTTTTTCATGTATTTATCTGATTCTTTCTCCATTTATTTATTTACAAAGATATGGGAAACTCTCCCCACGTTACTCTACTGAGAAGTAATCATTCTTCTTTCAGTTAATCATTCATTTTAATCTCTCAGATAAAATAAATATTGAAATTCATTTATACATAAATAAAGATGTAAAGAGGAGCATTTTCTCATCTACTTCATATTTTATAAAGTTTCTTTGCTTATTTACTCAAGAATGAAGAGAGCTGAATTTAAAAAATGGATTTAATGTATAAATGCAATGTAAGACATGGATAAATAACCATCAAGACTGATAAAAAAAAAATCTTATAAATACTCAAGTAACTGATTTTTTAAAAAATATTTTAAAATTAAATTGATTATAAATTTTCTAAAACACTCGAAAATATTTCATAATTTTGAATTAATTTAATGTATAATCGTCAACTTCAAAGACTTGTTGGATAGTGTTTGATATACAAGTAGATTAATTAGTTATAGTGTTGTTTAAATGGAGTAAATATAATTTTTTTTTTAAACTAAATACATGTAAACGTTCACTTTTATAATTCAACAAACATTCAATTAAAACGTTTTAAACAGTAAAAAAAGGCGACAATTTCTCGAGTAGAAAAACAAAGTTAGTGTTTACTTTGAAACAACACCAACAACTAATTTCAATAAAATAATGCAATGTCCAATTACAAATTTAAAAATGTCATTTTCTAGAAATGTTCCATTTATCGTAATTTATAACCGAGACACGTCAAACTTAAAACCATTGAAATTTACAAAGCAGGCATTTTTGCCCATCCATCTAGTCTACGCGTTACAGATTTATAACTCGCCATTATATAACACCCATAAATCCAGACCATAAAAAATCTTTTCTACACATCATCATAACAAACCACAAAATCTAATATTTAATATTAATTTTTTTTTAAATATAAAATATTATCCACTTTCTATCATTCAGGTAAAGAACATGAATGAATATTTTACTCGCTCAAAAATTCTTCAATTATAATACAAAAGTAAGCAACATAACACGATTCGATATATATATTTTTTATGTATTTATTTTCCAATAGGTACCAATAGGACTAAGTTTGTTTTTTTTTTTTTTTAAACAAATAAAGAATCTTATTACACGATATCCAGCACGTCAATATAATTATAAACAATAGTAGATGATGCTTATATAAGCAATAACTTTGTTGATTTTTGCAATTAAATCCAGTTTATGCTTATAATTCTCATTTTTTTACGATCCTATCGTAGATCAAAGGTGATAAAATTCTCATTAAATCGATAATTACTGTCATGATTTTTTTTTTATTGTTGGTTCCAAGTACTTTCGGGGCATCGAACAATTGTTCAAATTGCTCTTCGTTTTTATTTATTTGTCCATCTACAAGATATATGTAATTTAGTGGCGGGAGTATAGAAGAATACGACACTTAAGGTGTTTATTTGTACACGTGTTATTATATCCTATACAAACGTGAGTGAATGTTCTTACTTTAAAAAAAAAAGTTTAAAGCTTATATACAAAAAATATCAATTAAATATTTTAAATGGAAATAAAGGAAAACATTGATTTGATTTTAAACTAAATATTATTCTGATTTTTAAAAAAAAAATAACAATTTTCTCAATGGATGAAAACTGTGTAAATAATGGTGTTTTATATATATTTATCTATAAGTAAATAAACATCCTTGAAAGAGTCACTGTACATTTAAACAAAAAATAATCTAATATTTATAAAAATTTCGCCACATCTCGCTTATAAATATTTTTATTATGCAGTCGATACTTTTACTCCATTATTTTATTTTATAATCATTTCTAAACGAAATATCCGCATCGAAGAGACTAGGACTTGTGTATAGAAACGTATACAAAAAAAAGGAATATATTTTTTTGTCACTACCGGGTGTATGGAAGCTTGAAGTTGTTTGTTTTTAATATAATGTGTCCAACAACGTGTTAATTAAGTACTTTCCAAAATCAAAACAATCTTTAAGTACAGTCGGCTCGTTTTATCACCAAGCACAAAACTTAAGTAAGTTAAGACGAATTTTAGGCTTTCAAGAGGAGGAGGGATTGACGATTAAGTCGAAAGAGAGTAGAGGGATGTTGAAATCGTTCCAAAAAACTAATTCTTCACTCCTTCGCTCGTTAAAGTCAACACCTGACAGTCGTTTGTATCATTCGGTGGCTGACAATGTTGGCATCATTTCCGGTTAGGAGGTGGGATGTTTTTAACTATCCTCCAATAGTATCACTTTATTTCAAATCTTCTGTGTCACGAGAATCGCATTTTAACCCAATTAGAATTGTTTTTACACGAGAAATGTTCGAATAAGTATATGACGAGATGACGGCAAAAGTGTGATGTTAAATTGTTTAGAGATATGGAAAGGAGATGATGGAAAGATATCAAGCTAACGATAAAGAAAGCGTTTCCACTAATATCGAAAGAAATTTGCTACCAGGTAAATATTTTAATATTATTCCTTAAACTTACTCGCCCAGAAGAAAATAAGATAGAAAAGCAACATTATTTTTCCCCATTTTCTCTGCACTTTCTGCTAATTTAGCAACTGTTGAAGCACTGCCAGATGATGTTGCTAGAAGAAGAAGACCCCCAAAATCTTGTGCATGATGAAGACATTCCTGCGCTAAATGGAACTCGCATCGAGACATTGCCAACTCTGCTAATTGTTTCCATTTTTGTTCACTCTAAAAAATTTCATTAAATTTTATTATATAACAAAACATTTAATTTTATAATTCATATTTTATTTAATAATTACCAGAGCTTCTTGAGCTAACTGATAAGCAATCTTCAAATCACCAAGCTGTAATGCCAATTCAAAACGATGTTCAGGATCAGTGCTAACAGCTAATGCCTGAGCCTTAAAACCCTAATAAAAAAATGAAAAAATGCTTCCATGAATTCTGAAAATAGTTTAGTCAACTATACTGCAGTAGTAACAATAATTTCACTATATTTTAAATATACTGCTGTAAGAATGATATATTTATTTNATAATTTGCGGCTTTTGAATATTTATATAGATTATTTTTTTTTATATTTTTTTGGTAAATATAAATTAAATTTGATATTTTTTTTTCTGGATTGTTAGCTATTTGTTTTCTATGTTTCCGGTAACAATGGCTCTGTCTTTAGCCAATTTAGCGAACTGTTCCAAGGTTGTCGAAACTCGTAAATTAAATGGTTAAAAGAGCCAGATGTAAATTCGTAAATCATTCTTAAAGGCTTATAAATCTATCCAAAATTATAATATTAGAAAGAATTTAAAAAAAGATACAGATTCAGGTTGTAAAATAGTATCAAGATTATTTTGTAAGCCTTTTTTTTTTTTGTTTATTATATTTGAATTTTTAAATGTATTAGTCATTGGTGTAGTTTGTTTATGAAAATGATTAAAATATTCGAGAACAAATTACGCCATTCTTAATAGAAACAAAGAAAAAATGATATTCAACTTTTGTCCCATTTACTTAATTTGAAACATTGTGAATCATTAGATGATGTCAAAAATATCAACTTTTTAAAAGTTTTTTCATTAATTTTAATTAATTTAACTGTTAAAATATTCATTTAAGAATATTCCTATATTTTTAAGCAGGAATATTTGTATTGACGCTCTACTCCGTTTTCATCCTTAAAAATTCCTTCGAAAAATTGGGGAAATCCTCTGGTCCTCTTCTCAAATTAAGTTTAAATTAATTGATATTTAATTTTCCCGATAATAAAATTTATATTTTTAATGAAAACAATAACAAAATGTAATGTTATTAGCAAATATGAATAAAATTAGAGAAGCTTAGAAAGTGCGGTTTGCTACAGAAAAATTGTTTTTAGGAATATCAGAAAACTGTAAAGGATATTGCACAAACATTTGTCACATTGTATGCTCTATAAACATTGTTTACATCAACTAACTGTTAACAAACGTCAGAGTTTCTCAGGTATCATCGTCCTTCGAATCTTTCTCTTCATAAACACCTGGCTATAGGTATAATGTTATGAACTATGTACCTACCGAAATGTCATATCCGGTATCAATTTTCTTTTGATTTAAAACAAATTTTATGTTTTATGCAAGCACACGTATGACTGGCAGCTAGTTAAATCTAGTTACTATTAATTTACGTCATTTTAAATTGTTTCGTTCGAGGTGAGTTAAAAATATTGAGCTCTTTTTAAGTGGTCACATTTTTCAATTAAATTCCGAAAGATGCGGAAGATCAGAAACATTCATTATAGCAATTTTTTCCCATATATTATATAAAATGTAACTTCATTATGTTATACATTCCATTCGAAAAATCATGTTTTCTAAATGACAACTCTTATTTTTAGGAATTAGTTCATTTTTAAAGGAAAGATTTAACTCTAAAGAAATAAACGATTTTAACAGCAAAGTCCAAGAGAAATTCAACAAAAATCATTATTTTTCTACTTTTCTAACGACTAATTTAGCGCTTTCAACTTTGTACAAGAATATTTATATATTTCCCACGTTCAAATAAGCAGTTGTAATGTTCTCTGAAGGATAAACAAACAGTTTATCCAATAAGTTACATCGACTTTACCGAGAAAAGATACATCTCTGAAGATCCGAAAGAACATATATATATATATATTGAAAATAATTAACAATCTGTGTTCATCGGTCTTAGACGAATTGAAAATCGCTTTAACGAGGCGAATTTTTGTCTGAATAAATAAACCAAAAGAGTTTTGTCAGCTGGAATCGATTAAACGACAGATTTAAATACCTATTTCGCAAATTTGTTCTATGGTTTATGCCATAAATCACGATTTAAACTCAAATTTAAATGATCTTAATTAGGTTCAATAGATTAATGATGGAAAATTTTACTTATGATATTATTGAAGATTTTTATTACAATTATTACAGTCAATCCAAATTAAGGTTGATATACGTGATCTAAGTATTTATTATGAAATTTTAATTAGCTTAATGAAATTGTATCTTGATAATGTTTAGAATTGCAGCAATTTAACTTTTTACAGTTTACAAGAACAACTATGAAGAAAAGAAAAGACTAAATATTGCAAGTTCCTCATCAGAACAAGTCATGTCGACTCCACAGAAAAGTAACGAATCATTAGACCACGTTACGGATGTCAAACCACCATATTCGTATGTTGCCATGATCACTATGGCCATCAGAAGTTCTCCAGATAATAAACTTTTCTTAAACGATATATACGAATATATAAAAAAGGAATTTCCTTACTACAGGGATAAGCCTCTAGATAAAGAAAAAGCATGGAAGAACAGTATCAGACATAATCTGAGTCTGAATAAGTGTTTCAAAAAGGTACCTCGAAAGGAAGGAAGTGGTGACAGAAAGGGTAATTATTGGACGATAGATCCAGCAGTCGGAGAAATGTTTGAAAATAATAATTATAAAAGGAGACGACGGATAAGGAAAAAAACATATCCTCCTTCATCTACTCTTACTAAAGAACACTTTCCAGATGCTCACGGTGCCTTTCCTTTAGGCCACAACACTTATTTAACTTCTAATTATAACAGTGCGGCCGTTTCGCCGAATTGGTCGTTATCACACGTTCAAACTTCAGGATACAATTCGTGCCAGAGAGTGACGACGGGACAGGCAGCATTACACTCTCCTTACGGTCATGTCCAGCCGCAATACGATGCTGGCTTGCAGTCTCTGCAGTTGGGTACTATGGGCGGATATACTTCTCACGGTTTTACTAGTAGTGCTACAATAGGATCCTTCCCAGGAAACTTTCCTTCGTGTAGAAGTCAGCCTCCTGCTGACGGAATGCACACGGTTCATTACTATCCGTGGCCTGAAAAACAAATCGTTCTGGACGAAGGAATGAAGAAAAGTTTCTTATATCATAAAACCGAAAATGCTTTAATAAAAGAAGAACAAATGGACGGAAATAGGCTATTTTATGCTTAAATATAAATTGTAATGCTTTTCTAATTGTCGCAAAGGCTCCGTGTATTTGTATGTATGATGTTCGATAGGTGTATATATCTGGATAACAGTATACATTATTCTATGTGCTAGCCAGAATATTCTATCGAATTTTCTATTTTATCTTCTATACGTAAAGAATATCTTAGAAATAATAACGTTAATGATATCTTAGTATATTAATAATAATGTCTGTAATATAGGTCAACATTAGGCGTAACCGCAATTAATAAGCCTCCATTGTTAATTTTCTTTATTAAATATCGTTATAATAAAATATACCTCTAATTTAGAATTTTTGTGTTTATTAAACTCTTCTACTATTAAAATATCAACTACTTTGGGGTTAGAAATTTTAACAAAAATTAATTTAATTCAAAAATTCGTGAGCAAATTTAGTTTAACTTGTGGAAATATAATTATAGTTTCCTTTTCACTTATTATAATATAAAGAATATATTTTAATAATAATTAAACTAAAATCTCAAATTTAGTTTATACATTAAAAAATAACTAAGTTTATTAACTGAAAAATGAAAATCATTATGAACATTTCTAAACAATGCACTTTAATGTAGAAAAATAAATTCGTTTGCTCTTATTTAATATTTTGTTTAATAATTTTAATTGAATTATATGATTAATTTAATTTGTTTAACAGAAATGAAACGTGCAAAATGAAAAACTTGGTTCTTATGTTGTTATTAATAATCATTATTAATACTTAACAAGTAGCGTAAAGCTACTTCAGGATATTTGTTATTAAAATTGATATGTGTGATGTATTTCTTTGAATTATCAGCTTAATGAATAGTTTATAATGTTTGGATTTGTAGCAATTTAAATTTTTCAGTTTACAAGGTCTATGAAGAAGCGAAGAGGTTAAACAGTCCAAATTCCTCGTCGGATCGAGATACATTATCTCCCGAGAAGAATATCGAATTAGGAGATCAAGATCCAAATACCAAACCACCCTATTCGTATGCGGCTCTGATCACCATGGCTATCAAAAGTTCTCCAGAGAAAAAACTCACTCTGAACGAAATATATCAATATTTTACCAAAGAATTTGCATTTTTTCGAAACAATAGAAATAAAAATTCTTGGAAGAACAGTATCAGGCATAATCTCAGTTTGTATCAATGTTTCAAAAGGATACCTCCTAACGGCAAGGGAAGTAAGAAGGGAGGGTTTTGGATAATCGATCCCGAGGCTGAAGATATGTACGAAGATAATAATTATTTAAGACGTCGGATAAGACGAAAACCGAATCTCTCACAAGCGACTCTAACTACATATTTTCCAGATGCTTATAACCCAATATCTCTAAACCATGGCACTTGTTTCGCTTCAAATTATAGTAATTCGGCAGTTTCACCCAATTGGTCCCTATCTCATGTTCAATCGATTGGATATGCTTCTTGTCAGAGAATAACAGCAGGACAGGCCGCTTTATATTCTCCTTACGGACACACTCAGCCGCAATGCGATGCAGGAACACAATCGTTGCAGTTAAGTGCCATGAACGGGTACGCTTCCCATAGTTTTAATAACGGAACCACCATTGGATCCTTTCATGGACATTTCGCTTCTTATCGAAATCCTCCTTCCACAGAAGGAATACATCAAGTGCATTATTATCCTTGGCATGAAAAACAAATTTCTCTGGATGATGATTTGAAGAAAAGTTTGTTTTATCATAAAATTGAAGATTGTTTTATAAAAGAACAGTGCGAAGCAAACAGAATTTTCTATGTCTAATCAAAAGTATTTATTATAAAGTATCTGTCTTACATAGCCCACATACAAAATTCTTTCTTCTTAAAATTAAAATATGGTCAAATATTATACCATTTAGCTGTATGATGAGTGAATATTTTATTTAAGAAATGTAAAGTACGAATATTTTAGTTTAAATTAAACATTAAATATTTTAACCTCTAGTAATGCAATATATAAATTGATTAATTAAAGAGTTAGACCTAAGTAAAATATTCTTTTGAGTCTGTGAAATATTATTACAAGTTTCAAGTATAATGAAGATTTGAAAATAACAATTTTCGCACTATTTATTATAAAATTTTCTTTAAAAAATCATTTTAGTTTTGATTTATATACAGCTAGCACTTTTTTTAATTTAAAAATTCTGTTAAAAACTATATTCTTAATAATACTTTATATAGTGAAAATATGTAGATTTATTCTAACAATTGATTGTTATTGATAATTTCTAGACGGTGGAAATGTTATTAAAAATTATATTCACTTTAATCAATGATTTTTTTGTACTGAAAAATATTATCAGCTTAATGAATGGTTTATAGGTAATGTTTAGAATTGTAGCAATTTAAAATTTTTCAGTTTACAAGAATAACTACGAAGAAGCGAAGAGACTAAACAGTTCGAGTCCCTCATCGGCACAAGTCATGTCTTCTCAGAAGAATGTCGAACAAGGAAGCCAAGATCCAAATTCCAAACCACCTTTTACCTACGGAGCCTTGATCACCATGGCTATCAGAAGCTCTCCAGAGAAGAAACTCACTTTAAATGAAATATATAAATTCTTTATGAAAGAATTTCCATACTTTCGCAAAAAAATGGAAGACAACGAGAAAGGTTGGCAGAATAGCATCAGACATAATCTTAGTCTAAATCAAGCTTTCAAGAAAGTATCCCGTGAAGAAGGTACGGATCGTAAAGGTAATTATTGGGTAATAGATCCAGAAGCCGAAGATATGTACGAGAATAATAATTATAGAAAGAAACGAAGGATTAGAAAGAAACCTTATCAACCGCCACCGTCTATAACTAAACAACTTTTTCCAGATTCGTATAATCCATTATCTTTAAGTCATAACACATATTTAGCTACCAATTATACGGGTGCCACCGTTTCTCCTAACTGGTCTCTATCCCACGTTCAGTCTCCAGGATACAATTCCTGCCAGAGAATGACAACTGGACAGGCCACCCTGCATTCGCCGTACGGTCACGTTCAACCGCAGTATGATACAGGACTGCAGTCTCTACAGTTAGGCACCATGAGTGGTTATACCCCACACAGCATCGGTAGTGGTGCTACAGCGGGCTCATTTCCTGCAAGTTTTCCTCCCTGTAGACGTCAAGCTCCCGCAGATGGTATGCACACAGTCCATTATTACCCGTGGCCAGAGAAACAAGTTGTTCTAGACGACGGCGTAAAGAAAAGTTTCTTTTATCATAAAACTGACGATGCTTTTATTAAGGAGGAACAAGTGGAAGGAAACAGAATTTTCTTCGCTTGACCGGTTTGGTTCCTTCTTTCGCGTACAATTCCATATATTAAAAATACGTGGTCCAACTTAGAATCGCTAAGGTGCTGTAACGAATTTTTGATAATGATAAATGTGATATTCAGAAAATTATTTTGAAATATTTCTGTTTAATCGCCATTATACCTCAAAAACTAAAGGAAACAAACTTTGACAATGGATACCTTACACACCGCATCTTTTTATAATTTCTTGTTTATTTAGAAAATTATATCAAGAAAAAAAAATATTTTAAACATAAATTTATAAAACTTTATATAATATACAGTGAATTTTCGACCAAAGTCTTAAATGTATAAAAAAATTTTTTATAAACGGTATAGTAAGGTATACAGATTCATAATTTTTAATCATTTCTAGCAAAAAATAATGATGAAATTTTATAAATTTCTATTTACATTTTTCAATTATTTTATCATTATTACTACAAATCAATGCATTTGTAATGATTTTCATTATGCAAAAAAAATAACCATTATTCTTTCATAACAAATATTAAGATTCTCAATTTTGTTTATTCAATGTTTATAAATTTGCTCTGTCAATTTAAAAATAAAAATATGTAAAACTTTTTTTTGTTTTGCAAATTGTAAACTTCTTTTTAAACACCCGAATAAATAGCCATTTTGTTTATCATTAAAATGTCTCGGAGAGAGTTTTTAAGTAGAAGTTTATATCTTTCATTCAAAAAATTATTTTGAGGAAGAAAAGTCATTTACATAAATTGTGGTAATTCGAAACTCGTACTGTTTTTATTACGATGTTATTAAGTAAACTGATACCAATTTTGAAAACATATTCAGAAAAATATAACAAATTATCTTTTATTTATTATTTTTTAAACTAGATCTTAACATTCTCTACAATTGAACAACAATCTTTTTAGATTCAACAACCTATAGTTTTAATTTTTTTTTTATATCAATAAAAATATTTATTTAGCATATTTTATTAATGTAACCTACTGCAAAATTATATAAAAGTCTACATTAAATATTAGCAATGTCATTTTGATAAATTAACCATTAAAAATATTGATTCCTTATGAGTCAAAATGTTTAGTGATTAAGCTATCTTGGAAAGCTTAATCACTAAAGAATTATAAATTTATTCTAATTTCGTTATTCGGGATTAAAAGATTCCGTTAGGATATTACGAAAGAAAATAAAACTTTTAATAACAGAAAATTTATAATGTGATAGAGAAAAGCGTAAACTGAGTTGTCACTTAAGCAGCACCTTTAAATGTTGGCAAGATAAACAAACAAGCGCATAGTTGATGTCAAAAATGGAAAATTATCGTCGGTGAGTAGATATTAAAGATGCTGGAAGCGTTTTAGTCCAAGGGGCCAGCTGTTAGTTGCGAATATCCTGTTACAAGGCGGCGCATCAATTGAACTGACAAGCGCCTGTTAGGTAATTTCTCGCCTGCTTTAGCTGAGGATTTGAACTGTCAACCACGTTTTCACTCAACTCCCAGAAAGCTGTTTCTATTTACTTTCACTAAATCTAATCTTACATGGAAACATCAATAAATAACTGCAGTGCTTACGTTTACTGATAATTCCAACAATAAAAACATCGCAAATTATTTAATATGTTTATATATTTTACTTTTAATTATCTATTTCTGAATATTAAATTGGAAACTTTCATCATGATATATGAGTTTAAGGCCTAACTAAAGTAGTTCAGACTTTATATTATAAATAATAGACAATTTTATTGTTTCCTAGTGATCATAAAACATGTGACCCTTGAAAACTTAATAATTCAATATAAACTGAGTAATATTTTTGTCAAGAATGCGTTTTGCAATCGTAACGAGAAGGGAATTTGATATTTGGCATTTATTAATTAAAGGGATCAGTCCAAGTCGTTTAATTTTGTACCAGGTTCATTTTCTCAGGAAGGGTTGGGTACAAATGACGTGGAGCATTTACACTTTGATCTACATCTGTATAAACAAACATGAGCGACCAATCATTCTCATAGACAAGGTTAGAGAAATATGAGGTGTACTGCACCTGCTGGGTCAACATAATTTAATATTGTTTTGTCCAGTTGTCATTTCTAATGTCACATTATTAAAATTTTTGTATCTTCATTTAGAATAAACAGAACTTCATTAGGACTATGGATGTGGTCTTCTACATGAATTGCTACACATAAGGTTGTTTCAAGTAATATCCGTTATTGAATCGTTTAGTAACATATATGGTTGTCTGAGATAAATTTTATTGTCATTTCTTATTTACATTTACTTAATGTCAACAGCATCTAGAATGTCAATATTATTAACGGATGTGACAAACATATACAAAATGGGGTGTAATGCTGTCTTCCTCTCCTTAGTTAGTCGTGAGAAAGAACTTAAACAGTAAACAATGACACTTGGAAAATTGTCAGGAATCAAACAGGATATAGTAAATTTTAAACAGAAATTAAACACAATTAAAAAAAGTATGGGTAATACTAACTTACAACTAGAATATGAAAAAAAAAAAACATATTTTCATTTTCCTTTGCTTGTCTAAATATTTTATTAAAAATAACAATAATTAACAATTTGAAACTGTTACACTAACAAAAAAAATAACAATAATAATATGTAATAAGTACCTTTATGTACTAAAACTTTGATGAAATTATAACAACAAATTTCACCTTTATTATGAAAAAATATCACTCAAACACATTGATTAATTATATTTTTAATTTAATTAGAAATAAACAATGACATACAATTCAGCAGTATTTTTTCCAACATGTATCAGGCATTTCATCTTCAAATTTACAAGACAAAATATACATACTTCATTTTGTGCTGACAGGAGTTTTATTCAGAATCATGTAAAATGCTCAAAAGACGAAAATATACTTTGTATTGTAGATTTGGTTCTTGATATAAAGTCAACATTTCAATAAATGTTCTGAAATATGTTCTGAAGTGAAATGTGACATTAAATTGATCATATCACCAGAATCTTTCTATATATAGAATAACTTCTTTTATTTTAATATAACCAATTATGAAATATTCCATTTTTCCATTAATCTTCACTCAACAAATCCTCGTCTAAATTAAAATCCTAAAATTATAAACAAAAATATTTATTATTTGGCATGAGTTATTCTGAATTAAAAATGAATGAAAAATTCATACCGATGTATCAATATTGTCGTCTAAAACCAAATTGTTGATATCTATTTCTAGTTCTGCATCTATTTGAGATAAATCAAACTGTCCTGGATGAGACCTTCCTTCTGCTCCAAATATTTGTTTGGCATCATCTGTTTTATCAGTTTGTTGTTGCAAAGTGGGTAAATCTGATGTTAACACACTGCTTTTATCCTTCAGCAAAATAAATAATTTTAGTACTTTTAAATTAACAATTATATTATAAAACGATTTAAAATTAAATACTTGATCATATTCATTTTCCACTTTATAGTCTTCTGAAAATTTAGCACTTTTAGCTTCATTTATGGGATTTCTTTCATGATTTGCCTAAATTTAAAACATGTTAAATTATATATCTGGAATATCTTAATAAAACTGACTAATTTATTGTTAGAGGTAATATTCTTCTAAATACCAAATCAGTATAAATATATAATAATTAATAATTTAGGTTATTTATACAGATAGAATATAATAACAAAGTTGTTTTTTTTCAGTTAATCTAGTTCATTTCTAGAGAATGAACACCTAGTCTAAATATGGATTATTTAGACTAGGTGGGCTAGGTCAAATTTAATTGAAATAATTCCCAAAATGGCACTTTCCATTACTTATTTTAACTGAATTAGGACAAAATATGTCTTTCTATTGAGTTGTTATATTCCAAATAAAATTTTTTCAAAACAAAGCTTTCTTTAAAATCTTTGAAGTATCAGTTTTATTGAATAATTACATTTATGATTAATATTTTTCAGTCTGTGGATGACTCTTAATTGTCAAGCCAGTTTTATTCCAGCAGACAAAGGCCAAGTCTCACTTGTTCACAGTTTTATGTTTGGGGCTGGATGATTTAGACTTGTTTATAATTAATATTGGAAGTATGTTTAAAGAAAAAATTATCATTTCTGCTGCTAAGTGACTTGCTTTAATATTTCTTTCTTTAATATTTTGATGTTTTGTAAAATGGCTGAGTACAAAAAGTTATCAGTCGATGAAGTATTATATTTAATCCCATGTCAGAAATACATAGATATAAAACTGAAGCTGAAGAAAAGGCATCCAATTTTAAGCTCAGTCAAATTAAATACTACACATAGAAGTGTAGTATTTAATTTGACTGAGCTTAAAATTCTGTATTAGACATTTTTAAATTTAAAACAGGGCTGTGGAGTCAGAGTTGGGAGGAATTTCTGGCCAGAGGAGTTGGAGTTAAGAAAATGTGTTGACTCTGACTCTGGAATTTCAAATTTAATTTAGTTTTTTATTTAAATGAAAGAAAATTTATTTTATATTTAATAATTTCTTAAAATGTTTTTGTATTTTGTTATAATACATTTATTTTAAATACAAAATGCAATAATTTAATTTATTAAATATATAGCTTTCTTTGTAGTATTTGTGTTTAGTAGTTAAATTGTTCTGACTTAATTGAATTTGAATATTTTTGAATCATTCTTTATTATCCCTGCTCTAAATAAATACTCTATTTTTCTGAGTGAGTGAGACTAATTGATCAGAGTATATATTTTTCTTTTCTGAACAAGGAGCTGAAGTAGCTAGTTTGCACACTTTTTAGGTGGACCAACATTTCTGGAAGGGTAAAATTGAAGTGCAAATGTTGTAGAATAAAGATATGTAGATGTTGAATTTTATCATTCCCCTTTCTTCTTTTATTAAATATTAAAAATTAATTTTTTTGTACAAATAAATATTAAAGTAAGTTAAATATTAAAAATACTAACTATAAAAGTATGTGGGTAAATGCCCAGGGCTCTTTTCAGAGTTCAGAGTAGGGTACCCCCCTATGAGTGCCTCTGTCCCCTATAAAATGACTTAATTTTTAATTTTGCCGGAGTCAGAGTCAGCCTACTAAAATTACCAGGAGTTGGAGTCAAGTATTTACTGACTACGCAGCCCTGATTTTTAAAAAATTGATGTTTTATTCTAATTTTTTTAAACATTTTTTTCTTTTAATTATTATTCTGTTAATTGTTTCATGTTAAGAAAAGTATAAAGAAATAAATCCCAAAATATCAAGACAAATACCATTGTTTTTTTCTATAATTTTTTGAAAATAATGAAAAAACCCAGTATGCACAAACATTCATAAGAGCTTACCCCAGTAAAGAAAGTGTTAAACTATTAACTGATAGAATTTTAAATTTCATCTCAACATACATCTATTTGTATATTATAATCTGGTTTAAATAAAACATCTAAACACAGGGTAAAATACGTACAGTACAAATATAAATTCATTTGTATCTATAATTTAATAAAATTACACTTAATAGTTAAAATTATAAATATATTGTATTTTAAAGTGTGATAAATATTTTCTATTGAATATATATTGTAAATTACTATTTGTAAACATTAAAGCTCACTAAATATTATATTAAATGATCATATTATATATATATACAGTCGACCCCCCTATAAGATCATTGATTTTTCCGTTTTATCTGAATTACATGTTGTACGAGTCACTTAGATTTTACAAATACGTGTGCCGGGCTGTGAACGGCTCACATATTTGTAAAATCTAAGTGACTCGTACAACATGTAATTCAGATAAAACAAAAAAATCAATGATCTTATAGGGGGGTCGACTGTATATATATATAATTATATTATATTCTCAAAGAAATTAGAGCCTGATATTTAATCAATTCTGAAACAATATAATTATGTAAAAGATAAAACAGCAGCATCTGTTTAAATTTTTATTTTAGAAAATCTAAGAAATTTTATAGAAAAATTTCAACATAAAGAATTTGTTTTTATGATTCATAATAAATGAATCATTAAATATCATACTTTTAAGTTTCATTAATAATTTACAAACATTATAGTAATCTAATTAATTTTGTATATAATAAATAATTCAATTATAATTGACATTATTAAATAAGCTTAGTATATTTATATTTAAAGTAAATTAATATTTATATCAAAGTGAATAATGAAATTTTATTTTATTATATTTATTTTTTCAATATTATGTTTAAAACTATTCAAAATGCCTTACCTTTGTAAGAAAAACTAAACTATAAACCAATTTCAATATAATAGAACAAATACAATATAAAACAACAAACTTCTAAGCTGTGTTTTTACAAATATTTCAGAAATCTTTTCCAATATGAATAATAATACATATATATTTTAATGATTAAATATTTAAAGAATTAGCTTGAAATTGTTACAAAAATATTTTTAGAGTATAAACAAAATACAAATAGATTTTTAACTAAATTAAGTTGAATCAAATTTAGAAAATGTTTTAATGCTATTAAATCTGTAATCCTTTGTAAAAATTCTAATGTATTATTTAATTTCTGAAACTATAAAAGAATATTCATATTTTATTCTCTTCTCTTGTTTTACCATGTTATTTTGTTATCATATTGATAAATTATATAAATATTAACAAAATAAGTTTACCAACTGGAGGCCCAATTATAAACTTTAAAAACTAATCTAGTTTAAAAAAAATACTTCATAGTCATAATTAGCAATCTCTTCATATGAGAGTGAGTCAAGAAGTGTAAGTTGCACTCATACCAAAAATAAAAGTATGAAACATAAGGATCAAAAAGTTTTATTTGTGTGAATGTATAATCCAAGTGCTACTTTTTTTTAATGATTATATCAAAAAGTTTATTTATTTTAAAAAATAAACAAACTTTTTGATATAATCACAAAGTTTATTTAAACATTTATTATAGTGTGTCAGAGTTTTCTTATCCTCTCCTTGGAAGTATTCCTGTCCAACATACAATAACCATTCTCACATTGCATTTGTGATATGTCTTCATCAGATTTGTATCAGTGATTCAAAAGATCCTTTTTTATGAGACTGCTGAACTCATGAAACTCACAAGGTGCAAGGTCTGGACTGTAAGTAGGATGTTCTCATACAGTCAATTTGAATTCTTCCAGTAGGGCCTGCATGATGCCTGCTGAATGAGGTGTGGAATTGTCGTGCAAAAGATTTCTCATCATACACTCCCCTCAACTGTCAGTGAATTTCAGTGGTTACTCTTTTTTCCCCATAAGAAAAGAGTTTATACACAACTTCCAATTTGGAAGCTATATCCAAATGATGTGACATCTTTCACGGCTGAAAACGGATTAATCACTGCAGCCACATTGACAAATCTGATACATCTTGTAGCCTGAAGTATTACCAATGTTGCTACCAAATTTAATCTAAATATTGTTTATCAATAGAAAGTACTTGAGAATTGCAACTTACTTTTTGACTCACCTTCATAAGTACTAAATTATAATTCATATTATTAGCTTTAAAATAAATTCAGCACTTGCACATATATGACTAAATTTATCATATATTTTATATTGCATTTTAATTAAAATTTCATGTAAAAATTTTGAAATTCAGACATATGGAAGAATAATGATGATTAAGAGTTTTCATCATATGCTAGAATAGTAAATGCATATTTCTTTTTATGCAGAATAATAAAATTTTAGATACATTACCAAATTAAGATTTAGATATATTACACTTACAAGAATTTTCAAATAATCAGAAGCAGGATGAAATTGATTTTGCTGTTTTAAGAACTCTTCAGCAATTATTGCATCTTGAAGACCAGGAAATAAATTTTTGTATTCTTCAGGATCAGCAAGAGCCTGAGATGCTTTTTCATTTACTTTTTTCAAACTTTCTTTCCATAACTTTACAATACTTAAAAAACAAAAATCAAATATTCAAAAATAAATAAAATATTTATTAAACTATTTCACAATAAATAATATTTTATATAATCTTAATCAAGAAATTAATATATTTTACTTTGAAACTTGACTCGGAAGGTAAGCACGAGCAAAGAAAGCGGCTTCTGGAAGACGCCCAGTCTGAATTAAAACTTCTAAAGCCTTTTCTTTTCTGATAAAAATATAATTAATTTATCATTTCTATTTATTTAAAATTACTAAAAAATGTTATATCAAACATGTTTTGTATTTTAATATTATTCCTTAAACTTACTCGCCCAGAAGAAAATAAGATAGAAAAGCAACATTATTTTTCCCCATTTTCTCTGCACTTTCTGCTAATTTAGCAACTGTTGAAGCACTGCCAGATGATGTTGCTAGAAGAAGAAGACCCCCAAAATCTTGTGCATGATGAAGACATTCCTGCGCTAAATGGAACTCGCATCGAGACATTGCCAACTCTGCTAATTGTTTCCATTTTTGTTCACTCTAAAAAATTTCATTAAATTTTATTATATAACAAAACATTTAATTTTATAATTCATATTTTATTTAATAATTACCAGAGCTTCTTGAGCTAACTGATAAGCAATCTTCAAATCACCAAGCTGTAATGCCAATTCAAAACGATGTTCAGGATCAGTGCTAACAGCTAATGCCTGAGCCTTAAAACCCTAATAAAAAAATGAAAAAATGCTTCCATGAATTCTGAAAATAGTTTAGTCAACTATACTGCAGTAGTAACAATAATTTCACTATATTTTAAATATACTGCTGTAAGAATGATATATTTATTTTCATGTATAAAGTAAACTGATATAAGAGACAGAAAACAATTTAAATTTTTTTATAAATTGAGTTATATAATAAAATTTATACTATAAACAAAATTTAAAGAGAATATTGAAAGACTTATACTGCTAACAATAATAAACACATATACTTTTCAAAATTCTTATATTTCTTTAGATAGTTTTTTATTTAATTGTTCTTTAGATAATTTTCAACAGTACCAGTTTTCAAACATATTTTGTAATATATTGTATTTTAGAGAAATATAATATAAAATGCATTATGCAATTCAAAATCAAAAAGAATCATCTAAAAAAGAAATCAGAGAAAGAATAAATATGAAAAATAAGAAAATAAACAATTTCACAAAAGAAAATAGTAGCATCAATCCAAAATTTCAATAAATATGTTTCAATTTGAATGTTAACAAAGATACCAATCATTAAGCTGTATAATGTATTTTAAATATAATAAACTGATATAGTACATAAACATACTTGCACAGCTGTAAAAACAACAGTCAATATATTATTAATTCAATGTCCAAGCAATTATTGCCAATGGAATAGCAAAGGTGTCAAAAATTTCATAATCATTGCAGAATAGAGAGTGGGTCATTTTAATCAATCCATTCGAATAACTTAAAAAATATGCATTCTATAAAAAATTTGTTAAATGAAAACTTCAAAGGGGCTACAAGATTTTATTAAATGGACCCCATTTTTTCTTCTACCTATTTATCATACATATTTTTTATTCTATATTATTTACAATCTTACAGAAAAGAAACTTTTATATGAAACAGTTTTTCCAAAAGATGCATTTATCAGAAGCTGTGAGCATTTGAACTTTTGCATGGCCATGACGATATGCAAATGTGTCTGTGGATATTTGTGAGGTTCATTAAAAAGTTACCAGGCCTATATAGTCACTTTACCTGATTTTTATTTGTGGGAATATTTAAATAATGCTGTCTATGAACAGAAACCAAGAATCAGGAACTGTCTATGCACAGGAAACAAGTAGAGAAGAAATGATCAGGAAAATTCAAATAGCTTGTACAACCATTACATGAGAACATTTTACTAATGACGTAAGACATTTCCAACAGAGAAATTGACATATGCATTCAAAGAAATAAAGATGTTTTTGAACAATGTTCTAACAGGAGAAAAATGTGAGAGGCAAGGGGACTCATGATAATTAAGCATATGCTAAAAGTTCAATTAACATAAAAAATGTCTTGAGAAATTTAAGGCAACTTTTGAACATGAGGATAAATTTTGAAAAATCAACCAAGATATCACAAACTTGATTGCTTTAACACACTGTAGCACATATTTTTGTATCAATTCATTATTTGAAGAAGAAAAATAATTCCACTAAATAATAATAGTTTTCTAATGAGTTTTCTTCCTTTTCTCCCCCCGAACTTCACAGATATCCATAGACATGCATACATACAGTGCATGTTTATGGTGGCTGTGTAAAAGTTCAAATGCTGCTAACTTCTGATAAGTGCACCTTTCTGAAAAAAATTTGTCCAAATAAAAGCTTGTCTGTCTTTTTATGCAGAATCATAACATGCAATAAAAAATAAGGAATCACATTTAATTAAATAAAGCTGACTCCATTTTCACAAATTGGAAGAATAAAATCCTAAGGATAAAATGAACCACTCTATATATCTAATAATAGAATATAATGGAAAACTGCAAAGTCAAACTGAAGTTCATCTACTACTTAACTATTTATTAAAAATATATGAAATATATATATATACACCATACTACTACCTTATAGTTTCAAGTTTCATGAACAACTTCTTTTCCTAAATTATTTTATCTGTTAAAAGTTAAAAAATACATAATTTTACAAAGAGACTATTTCAAAATATTTCTCTTTTGAAAAATGTTGTTAAAACAATTTGAAATATTTTTCAAATGTAAAACAATTAAAAACAATTTTTCTGCTAGTCTTTTTTTTTCCTTCTTAAATTACAAAAATGAGTTGAAACATATTGAGACTGATTTTTCCAGTTGATAATGTATCGTTAACAAATTCCTGATCTACTGTATATCCAACATATGATTTAACCTTTAATTCTGGTAACATATCATTTAAAACAACATTGAATAAATGTTATACGAAAGATATTGCTACTGTATATCACTGTAAAGAATAGCTATCATGCATACGTCCAAAATTTGCATGAAAATATGATGTTTTGTTGGTCACTATAGCATGCAGAGAAAATGTCATCTACTGTCAGTCTACAACAAAATGGAGTATCTGCAGTGCTGAAATTTTGCTTCTGCTTTATAAATAGATGTGGAAGTTTATGATGTACTGAAACAGGCATAAAGCAAAGAAACTATTCTACAATCTATAACATTTTGACAGTTCAAGGCATTCTCTGAAGGCTGAAAATCAACCTTGAAGTAGAGAGGTGTACAGACTTCTCTATGAGTGATATAACTAAAGAACTTATCAACATTGTTGATATCATTGAGAATGTGCAAAATTGCATGAACACTGCTATAGGAGTGTTCATACAATTTTCAATCACTGGTACATATAATAAATACAATCAACCTAATAATTTCAAATATCAAGTGAACAGCCAGATTCTTTATAACCTGTCTTTTCACATGCTTATCAACATGTAACTGAAAATGCAAAATCATTCTATTATTGGTTATCATTATTCAGTCTTAACCAGTGCTTTAAACATTATCACTTTAGTCATTATTTGTTCATTACTATGAATAACAGTAGAGTTTCTGGCATTTCTTACTTCAATTTTACATTATATGAATTACCATTAATTAACAATAAAAATTATAACTAATAAATTTTCATTAAATTTCTTGATTGTTGGGCTGCAATTTGAAAAAATGTAGACCTATAAATTTTCACTGTCGCCCATCTGTCTTTCTTTATTCTTGAGAATGGAGTTATATAGATAAAAGACGAGACCTGGTATGAAAACCTTAGGGGCAGGAGACCCCAATTAACTATATACAAACTTCCATTGCAAACCAAAAGTCATGTTATTTCAATTCAAAAACTTTTCTCTGAAAAGTGTCAGATGACTGGCAAAACTCTATTGTTAAAGGAAAAGTAAGATGTACAGGGGCAAGACTCTACAGTACTAATTTAAGGTGAAGAGCATATATTTTAAATTAAATAAATTAAAAATATGATTAAAAATTGCAGCTTGGCATTGTGACAATGTCACAATTATTACTTGTTTAACATATTTTTTAATGTCAGAATGAATAAAACTAGAATTTATGCTCACTGTAGTTTTATTTACTTACTCTGCTTAAATATTATCACTATAAATGAATCCTGAAGTGATTACAGAAGTGAATTCTACTGTATATATAAATATTCTCTATCAATTTATTATAAATTAAGAATCTTAATTTTGCTTTATTTCATTAAAAAAAATTTTTTAAAGTTAAAAGTACTCTTATTTCTTGTGTTACCAACATTGGCTTTGAGATAAAAAATTTGGATTTATAAGGTTGTTTTGTTAGTATTTAATGAAATACCAAGAGCATCAAATACAATGATACTCTTTGACCAAAAGATAAAAAGTAAAACCTACAAGAGCATACTAAAAATCTACAGAATATAAAATAACATAAATGTTTCTTTAAAAAAATATTAGCTTATGTAAATTCAGAAATATTGAAAAAAAATTAAAAAATTGACCTGCATTAGAAAGTAAAAGACAACCATAAATAATATACAGTATAATGAAAAAACAACAAACAAGGCACTAAACTTAATACTTCAATATTTGTATTTTTATTAAGTGAAATGTACTGCAATCAAAGTATAATTATATGTTCAATCAACCCATGTGAATTCATTAAAGTTGAATGCACAGTATAGTTGCAACAGTTACCAAATAAAGAGAAATAATCAAAATCCAAGTAAACATTTTACTGAGAAGTTTCAAATAAATGTAAAAATTGCTCACCATCCAAAGTATACATTTTGGCAGATAAGGAAATTTACAACAGTTTAATAAAGTTAATATAATTATAGTAAATATAAATTTCATAAACTTAATAGTTTGATACAGAGTATAGTAACTTAATGTACAGTGTATGAACAAATATACCCACATTATTTTATAATAATAATAATAATTAATGTTTCTTAAAATCACACTAGTCCACTAGTTAAATAAGTTCAATCTCTGTTTCTTTCAAATAATGACTGTTATTGTTCATATAAGTACTTTATGCTAATGTAGTAAGAAAATATTTTCTTGTTTTTGTGTAATTTCTTTGTAAATTGAAAATGGCCTTAGAACAGGTAAAAATATTGCTTAATATAGAATACAGAATGTATTGCAGAATAAAGCTGCATCAGTTAAGTTGCTTGAGAATCTTTTAAACAATTTTTGCTTTGCTATTTGTAAATGCTATTTTTTTCAATATAAATCAAAATATTTACTAAAAAATGACACAAAATTTTGCTGATGTTATAGAAATTATATTATATTGTCAGAGGCAACCAATGACACACATTTCTACACCCTTTGTCAGAAAAATTCCAGGACAAATAGCAGAAAATAGAAAATTGCAATTACCAAGTAATGATCCTAACTCCTGGCAAAGTAGTCCCCTCAGCTATCTATACACAATTGCCAATATTTTTGGAGGTCTTGGAAGCAAGCAGAGAAAGCTTCAAGTGTGATGCTTGTTAGCTCATTTGTCACTGTCCATTGGAGATCTGTGATATCTTGACAAAATGTCTGTTCCTTTTTCACTTGTGGAAACAAGAAAAATTACACTTTTCTGACAAAGGGTTGCAACTAAAAGGGACATTTCATCAAGATATCGCAGACATCCAATGAACT